TAGTAATTTATTTTAATATTAAGCCATAAGAGCAATAATATTATGATACAATGTGCTTAGAAATAAACAATTATTTTACTTTAAAGGGTCAGGGTCCATTCTTTGGACCACAGATGCCACAAGTCCGCCCACGCTGGAACATGCAACAACCTCAACAACAGATGCGACCTGGTGTACCAAACATGCCCAGTGCAGGGCAGGTACCCAGAGCTCGTGKTGTGCGTCAAGTTGTACCAAGGGGAGTGGGTCCACAGTCAGGTGTCCCTCAAGGCATGCAAGGTGGAGGACAACGCATGCCCAATGTGCAGATGTCCCAGCCGCCCCAGAGAGTACCAGGTGGACAAAGTCAAGTCAGACCTAGCTATGAGTTCTCTCAGACTGTGCGCAACCAGCCTTCTGCACATGCACAGCAAGGCATTCAAGTTCCGGTATGTACACTGAATATTGCATTTATTACAAGACCAAATTATTTGATTCCATAAACCTGACTCACTAGCTGTAAAAAGTTCTTTCTGTTCCCCTGTTTCAGACCACATGTCATTCCTTTGAAAGAAAGGGTTAGTACTGAGAAACAAAGAAATAATACTCAAGGGAATGACATTTAGGTGATAATAGTGTTTCAGTGGATTGGAGCTGTTACTGTAATAATCCAATAGTGTTTGTTTTGTCTAGTAGGTAGGTTCATAAATAAATATATTAACTTTGTTTATAGAGGATAACACTTGACAGTAATTCAACTGATAAACTCGTGGTCCTCTGTTAACGTCTCTAGTTAATTAGGAACAGGATCGCCATTAATATGATCATCCGAGCCACATGAAGGTCTAAACATTTGCAGATGTAATTACAAAGGCAGCACCTTCTCCTCATTTATTTTAAGACCCTGAGTGTTGGTCTGACCGAGGCTTAAACAACGCCCTTCCGCACAACAGACCGACGCTCTTACCAACTGAGCTAGCCAGGTGGCGGTTCATTAGTTGCTTGTTAGTTTTTCTCCTGTGTTTCGAGGGTTTTTCACATTGTTGATGGGAGGATATAGCTTGGAGAATGCTGAATTAAAGCAAATGTATAGTAATATAAAAGCTAATGTTGGCAAAAATACCATAAATTGGCTGCTTGTTTTGAGAACACTAATAGTAGATTAAAGTGGTGTTAGAAAACTCATTAATAATTCATGAAGGAAAGACAATAGAAATCATGACCATGAAGGAGGTTTTATATCTGATATAGATTCGTCTTCATTTGCATAAACTTTGACTTGGATTTTCTCTATCAAACTTGGTTCATTTCGTAAAGAATTCTGTACAATATGAGAACATACATCATGAGTTTTCGAAGATGTTTAATAAACTCGCAGATCGTGTTTTATCAGGTCTAAAACCACTCGGCTACACCTCATGTTTTACCCGATAAAACACTCCTGCTCATTTATTAAACACTACATAAAAAAGTATTGCAAAAATATTTTTCAGAGAATTCATACTTTTAAGGTTTACCCATGACCAACTTTAAAAAGATTTTAGGTCACTTTATAATTCAAAAAGGTTGAAAAAAATGCAGCATATGCATGAGGAAATTTTGAGGGAAATGTTGAACTGAATTAAAGATTTTAGAGGGTTAAAATCTATTTATTCAGTCTAGAATCTCCCTAAAAATATTGTTTTTTTATTTTGGTTCTTTGAATGACAGTCATTGAAATACTATTTGGTGAAGGACACATCAAAATTTGAGGGTCACACTTCAAGACTAATAATTGTAGTAATTTATTTTATTATTAAGTCATCAGAGCAATAATATTATAATGCAATGTGCGTAGAAATAAACAATTATTTTACTTTAAAGGGTCAGGGTTCATTCTTTGGACCACAGATGCCACAAGTCCGCCCTCGCTGGAACATGCAACAACCA